AAAAAAAAAAAAAAAAAGAAAACATTCTTGCAGAGAGTGCTCACTGAACTCTCTGATGAGCCGGTCTAGCGCTGGACAGCGGGTTATACATGCAAGTTTAAGTAACTGTGTGTTCTCTGCTTTGCACTGTCACTTGTGTAAAGTGGAGCTGATGGGAGCAGGTGTGCCTCAGTGAGTGTGCAGCTGGCTTCTCCACAGAGCTGTGTGGGTAGATGTCCACGTTACCTACAGTACCCGAGCTGCTCCAGTGCTGGAGTGTCAGGACCTTGATGCTCTCAGTAGGTCCCCAGAATTTGACTTTCTGCATGAGGGCAGCTATAGGTCCAGCCAGGGTGGCTGCAAAGACTGGGGCTGTTTCATAGGTGAGTGAATTAAAATCCAAAGCCTACTCCACCCCTGATCACCACATACAATAGTGTATTTAATTTATTGTCACAGCAAATGGTTTGCTTCATGGCCGTAGAAGAAAAATGTTGGGGCTGAGGGAACCAAAATTTTTGCTGTTCCCCAAAGCCAGCCTCTCAGTCCCAAAGCTTTACCTGGGATCTGTGAATCCAAAAGGTCTCCTACCAACTCTTGAGTGCTCCAGTGCCCCAGGACACTGGGTGTTTGTGCATTGCTGCATTGCATGTGGGACAAGCTTTTGTCCTGCCTACATGCCCAGTGCAAAAGGCTTAGTAGTAATCAGAAGCCAAAAGCCTGGGGCCTTCCACCCCTTTCTAGTGTATCCTTCCATTGCTGCCTTAAGCTCCCAGAGCATCAGTGAAGTCATAAAGGCAAATGCAGTTTTACAGGTGCCCAAGAGGGACAAGTATGCCACATGGTCAGGTTGGCAGGACCCGCTTACAAGGGAGCAAAAAAGATGTGAGCATCTTTGTTTTCATGAGTCCCTTGTTCATTCAACCAATCCATCTTTGCAATGCCGCCTCCTGATGCTGTGCTGAAGTGGACGAGAGCTGAAATGACACAGTCCTGCCCTTATGGATTGTCCAGTCCAGCATAAGAACCCCAAAGCACAGGCTCAAGTACAGAAATCCAAAAAAGAGCAGAGAAGGGTGCAGAGCGGAGACTAAGAGATTAGAGTTCCAGCCCTGGGTCACTGGTAGAATTTGTCTAATTGTACCTGAAGTAAGGGTGGACTTGTTCTACTAGGAACTAAAGGCTTTTCCTCTTGATCACATTCCATTTAGAGTTTCAGTTTGTGTGACCAGAATATTAGGTGCCAGGCTGTTCTAAATTTGTAATTCTTAGAATCTGCTGGGGCAGGACATGCGCTTCTCCGGGATGTGAAAACAGCTCAAAGAACACAGAAAATAGATCTAGTTCAGGGATGACTTCTTGTCGGTTCCTGGAACCTTCAGTATTTAAAACAGCGTGTTCAAAGCAAGTTCTCTTTCAAAAAGGCCTCTGGGATTTGAAAGCTTTTCTGGAAATAAATGCCTTTTAGGTTTAAGTGCTTTTCACCAAAATGCCAGGAGGGGAAGAGCATAGCAGCAAGCCTCAGAACAGAGGCAATATTGTTCTGTGTCCTCTGATGAAACGTCTCAGACCCGCTGCCTCAAGTTCTGCTTGTTTCTGTCAGCTTTCTGCTCAGCTATTTTGATAAGGGACATGAAAGTACATCCTTCCCTCGCGGTCATTAAAGACTTAGCACTTGGGCTCCTTGTGGAAACACTTCTGTGCTACACTCGGTCTTCTAAACAAAACAGTCCACGCCCTGGCTCCAGGCTGTAGACCGTGTCAGAGTCATGGAACGTGGCATCACGCTGCTCCGGCAGAGGAGCAGGAGGTCGGGATCCAGGGAACAGGCCGGATGAAATCACCAGCCCCGCGAGGGGAGGTGGAGAGGCAGATCCCTCCCTGCCAGTCTGGCAGCTCCAGCAAAGCGCTCAGAGCTCATCCCACACACTCGGTGCTAGTCACTGCGTGTGTTTACATGAGTAATGGGGCGGCCGGGGGAGGGGAGTTGTAAGCGGAGCACCGGCCTCGCAGCTCGCATTCGGAGGGAAGCTGATATCCGCGGCGCTCGGGACTTCCAGGGATGCGTCCGGGGAGCGGTCACATGCTGTAGCTTTTCATGAGCACAGACATCAATCAGGCAGATGTTTGTCGACTGGAATGGGTAATCACTACTTTCTCTCTGCTTGATTTTGTTTGTGAACTTGTTTACCTTTGATAACTCCGGGATGGCTTTCTAGGATGGACTTTCAGACCCACGTTTTGAGGAGTGAGATGGGGCCGTTTTGGGGGAGGGGAGTCCAAGCCTCTGACACTGCTGCTGAAACTTTTTGGGGCTTTTGGGGTTTTTTTGTTTGGTTTTGTTTTTTTGCCGCTCTGATTACAAAGGCAGCTAGCTATCTGCCTTACTGAGCCTTACTGACAGCAAAACTCTTATCCGCCGCAGAAAATCAAATTAGTAGCATTGTGTCAGTACAAGGAGTACAGTGTAGAATGTGCTAAAGCCACTGGTTAGAGATTGTGCTGTTCTGATATCACATCGTCGTAATCGTTCCTTAAAGTTGTAAAATGTGCCGGCACCTTGAAAGTTATGGCAGAAATTGTTTGAGCACAAATTCATTAGCTTGGAATTGCTCAAGGACTGCTTGGCTAGTCGGTTGGTTTTAATTTCTGCTGGACCTCGGTGACTGAGGTGAAATGTGAAAGCTGCTGCCGGACAATCATAGCGCTCAATAAACAGCACCCGCTTTCCTTAGAGAGCTTAAAAGGAACCAAGCTAAGGGGCTGGGGATTTAGCTCAGCGGCAAAAGCGCCTGCCTGGCAAGCGCAAGGTCGTGAGTTCGGTTCCCGGTACCAGAGAAAAAAAACAGGAACCAAGCTCAACATCAAGGACGAAATACAACTTTGATTTGTATCTGTCTACAGCTTTAAAAAAAGCGTAACCCCTATGGAATGAGGCTAACCCCAGAGCAATCTTTGGAATTTATTTCATATAACCCCTCTGGATCTTCATAAAAATATATTGAGAAGGAAAAGAAAGCATGCTGATTTCAGTGTATCTGCCAGATTTGTTGAGACTTGCAACATGCTGGTCAGAATATGATTAGTAAACACATGGACTAATACTTTGCAGTTTGTTCTTAATGCTTCTCTGAGTAGCTCACTCTCTCTCTTTTCTTAATCTGTATGATAATGTGAGAAAATGCTCATGTCTCCAAACACTTTCAAAGAGAGATCTTTTCAAGTGTTCCATTACTATGATAGCATGATGGGCTGGCATATCACTTAGGCTTCAGAAAAACAAGGTAGAAACAAAATATAAGGAAGATCTCAGAGCCTGGTTCAGTGTTGTCTTTCAGCCCCAAAGGATTCTTTCCTAACAGTGGGGAGGAGAATTTTCCTTATCATCCTTTAAGCTTCCTTTTATCTCTGTTTATTAGACATGATATAAAGAAAGAGTGCTTAGCTTTGGAAAACTTGTACTGAAGGCTGTACTGGTAATACCAAGGTGTAGACCTTCAGAGAGAGAGAGAAGCAGCTAATGAAAACTGGCTGCCACAAACACAGACATTTCCCCTGAGCCATTGGAGAAGAACCCTAAAGTGAGATTGTGGGTCTTTACTAAGGCAACCTGTGCCAGTGAAAATGTATATCAATTATTCTGTTTGTTTTTAGCGCCAAATCTTAAAGGCAGACCACGAAAAAAGAAACTGTGCCCACAGAGAAGAGATTCCTTCAGTGGAGTTAAGGATTCCAACAATAATTCTGATGGTAAAGCTGTTGCCAAGGTAAGGTCCATCACTCTGTAATTGCTACACCTTTTTGTTTTTCTTCTTACTGTCTGCTCTTGTGTCTTGGTGGCAGTTTTCAATTCAAAATCCAGCCTTGTGTGCAGATCTTTTGAAGCCCTGTGCTGAGCCTGTTCCTGCCACCTCCCCTCCCTGGTGGCTGGGGGTGGCAGGAGGCAGGCATTTTGATTAGTCAGCAGAAAGGCGCCCCACCTCCCTGTTTGGCCTGTTGGGTAAAGGACAGATGATTAAGCTCCCACATCACTGAGGCTGAGATTTCATAGTAGGTGACACAATGACATAGTTTACTCTGCTCGTATCAAAAATAGCCCAGCTGAAACATCCTCCTTCTGAGTGTGTTCATCTAAATATGTTTCAGAGATTAGCACAGGATGAAATTAGAAATAGCCAGAATTAACCTTTTTAAATTATGTACTTTTCAGAGTCACCTCAGATTCACATTAGGGGAAAATCAAAGACACATAGCAAAGTATTTATATGTATGTGTATATGTATATATATATTCTTATACATTTATATTTTTTTAACATCTCCACTAATGCAGAATGAAAGCTTTAATTCTAAACTAATTTTGGCCCACTCCCAGTTTGCCTAAGCATTCTTTGGAATCTTCAACGCACATGCCAAAAGTATTTAGCACTGTAGAAAGTCAAGTGTGACTTCATATTTTTAGACTTATCTTTTTGACTTTTGTGGACTTGGGTCAGATTTCCACATTCTGGTTACTGAGTGTTTGTGGGTGGGTATTGTTTCTAAGCCAAAGACAGCAAGATTCTACCTAGGACCTGAACCAAAGACCAACACTAAACTGACATATTTCCAGATCCAAGAAATAACCTGGAAATGGGAACATTTTGAATATTGATGAATTTGGGAGACTCCAATTTAGAAGAGAAAAATGAATTCAGTTCTGTGTTGACAGTATACTATTTGTGTGCTATGTACTCCTGCCCCTTCCCAGTATAAGGGACTAAATCCTAGATATGTACATTCTACATATCTTAATGTCCAGCATGATTACTTTATCAAGAAGTTCTGAGGACTTTTTTGATGAGGATTTCTTCATGCTACTGGAATTCCAAAGGACTAAAGGAACTCAATCAGTAAAAACATTTTTTTTCCATTTTCTGGCAAAAAAAATAAAAACTATCATTTCCTAAATCAGTTCTGTTCTGCTTATTTAACTTTCTGCAAGTAAGAGCACATGAATAGCACCGAGGAAATTTTCTTGTGTGTTGGACACCTCAGCCCCACAGCCAGTGGCTCAGGGCCTCGGTTTCCAGTCTTGAAGAATGTCAGCAGGCACAGTGTGTTCTCTGTGATGTAGCCTGTATGTTCCGGCAAGATACTGCAGATGGAGCAAGAAGGTTTTAGGATACAACATTCAGCAGAGATTGCATTGCCTGCTCCTTTCATTGGTGCCGGGCCCTACCTCTAGATGACATCATATGTTTACTCCAGGATATTCCGTGCCTGAGCCCCAAAGTATGAAGCTCCTTCCCTTGTCACTTGGAGTCACTACCAAGGTTTGCCTCTGGGAAATTTATAAAACTGATCTGAGAAAACATCCCTTTCAATGTTTCTGTCCATGGATGACAGCTCTGCATTCACACTCAAGCTCCCAAAACTGAAGCACACAGGAGCCTGCTCTATGCATAGGTTGCATTCGATGTCTACTGACTGTTCTCTGTAGGAGGGATCAAAGACAAGCCAGAGTTCTCTATTTGACCTCTTCACCCCACCTCCTACCTCCCAGAGCTGCCACTCAGAACATTTATGAGGAGACAGATCATCCTTCACCACTGGGGCCCAGTGGTAAATGTCTCACTACAGTTAGCTCCTGGGAACTGGTCTAATGGCTTGGCTTTTTCTGGAGACTTGGATTACAATTCTGCCTTGGACACTTCCAGCAAGTCTGCTGAAACCGTTTCAACTAGCTGGAAATGAATGATAGGTTTGAAGTACAGTGAACTTCTCTGTTGACATCTGTCTGAAAAATACTACAGAGCCGGTGATGTAGCTCAGTGGCACGGCACCTGCCTGGCAAGAGCAAGGTCTTGAATTTGATTCCCCATACCCCCTCAAAAATCCTGCCGAATGGAAAGACCATATCTGGGACCAAGACAACCATAAAAAAAGTCATGTGTATCTCAAAGTGGTCTTTTGCCATGGAATGTTTCATTAGAGATTATGAACCTGTGACCATTCTATCATTTGCTGAACCGGAAGAAATGTTTTAGGTGACAGTGAGCTGCTTGACTTTATGATCATTTTTCTCAAAAATGCCTCAGATAGACCATTTCTAACTACAGAGAAGAACTGGCTTCCTGCAGCTCTGCACAGCAAAGCTCCTAGAGTGGAACCCACCGGGTTTGTTGTGTTTGTGACTGGTAATTTGCCTGTCACTATCAAAAGGTTACACTCTCTCAATAAGGACATGACAACAGCTGTGCAAGACACCACTTTCCCAGAGGGAGAGGGTCCCATGACTTCCCCAAAACAGCAAAAGTCACATGAGGAGAAGAATACTAGTGCTCTGAAGATGTCATGAGAATCAATCCTGCCATTTTCCTGGGATCATCTTAGAGCAGCAGAACTAGAGCCCAGGCTTGTTTATGGGGTGATCTATGACAGAGAAAAAAATCTTCCTATGTCCCTAATCAAAGCCCTGTATTGATAGAAGGCAAATGACTTCTCATATTTTATAACAATTTCTGAAAGACCAGAAGTATATAACAAGCAGTTTATATTCTAAAAGGAACATAAAAAGGAAAACTATGGTGTGCAATATGTTCTTTCGTTTAATCACAAAGGTACTTTAATATTTCGCAGATGTGATGCTTTAAATATTTGTCATCTCATTTGGTCCTCAGAACTGTACCCAGGGATTGTCCTTCTTGCTTTACCAAGGAGGAAACTGGGAGTCCTAGTAAGTTAGTGACCCAATCAAAATTAGAACTCCAGCTAGTTTCTTGCTAGTTCAACACATATTTCTGCCCTGGTTGAAGGCTAGATTTTAGTTGTAACTCAATCCTGTGGCAGGATGTGGTTAATATCAAAGAGGTGGCGGTTCCCTAAAAATGAAAACATTAAATGTAGATTCTCTAATTAGCACTTCCTCAATCACTTTGGAAACCCCAGAACATTTGGAGGACTCAACAGGTGTGTCATGTTCAGGGCAAAAAGCAGTTCTAGTAATTATTTGTCACCATCAAAACGTTAGTCTTTCTCAAGATCAACATGAAGACTAACTCTTATTTCCATTAACACCTGCACTATACTCATTCAGCACATTAAAGTACTGACAATGTTTTGGGTATATGTGGAAAAAATGTAGAAAAAAATTTGAGTCTTGTCCAGAAACTGAATAATACTCTGAAGAGCTCACTTCTGTTAACTGAAAAAAATGTGTCAAGATAGCTCAAGATAGGAAGCCATTGTGCACTTCTCACCAAGCTCCTGGCCTCTCTGGCAGCGGCCTGCTGGGCAGCCACTGAGATCCAGCGTAGAACGCAGTAGATGGCAGCCTGGCTTCACCTGGAGCCTTTGCCACGAAGCGGGGAGTCCTGGTTACTTTGGACGTGGTTTATGCACTCCTGTGTGCTTTCCTTTTATTTCTGGGTGTTTCTATGCAAATAAGGCAGGGGGTTAAGTAATTATCTGGACACTGAAGAATAAACCTCAGATTCCTTTATTAGTAGCACTTTGACCCTAGTAATGGGCTAAGTGGCCCTTTGGCTCTACAAGTTAAGCCTCTACCTGTTTGATACACATCTCCTAGTTCTACTTTTGTTTATATGAGATGGGGCAGACCTGGCTTCCAAACCTAGACATCTGCCCCTCGCTAGCTGTATGACAAGATTCATGACCTGGCCAAGCTGCAGGTTCTGCCCCTGGAAAATGGGGTTAAATATATCTCTTTTACAATTTCTATGGAAATTAAGGTAAAATCTGCGAAGCCCGCTGTACCGTATCTAGCTCACTGTAAGTGCTCTGTTGAGATCAGTTTCCTTCCTGGGCTCAATCTACATGTCTGTGTCTCATCTGATAAATCGCATTCCTAAGCAGTAGGTTTTATAATGCTTAATAATAAGATAGGTCTTGAAATTGCAAGTTTGTTTTGATGGCCCATTTAACATTTTTATTAAGAGTTTCAATAAAGCATAGTTCAAAACTACAAGCCCTAGAGCAAGGCTCCCTGAGATCCATCTACAGACTCACTTCTTACAAACCTGTGCCTGATCTTATGAACTTGTACATTTACCCATCTTGTCTGTACTTTGGCTTCCTCAGTTCTAATATGAGAATAATAACCTACCTCATTGCTATTGTGAGCATGAAGTAAAATAACTAATACCTAAAACCTACCTCATTGCTATTGTGAGCATGAAGTAAAATAACTAATACCTAAACAGCACTTGCAAGCATGCCTGGCTACCTAGGAAACACTCTAAAGAGACTGGAAGGTAATACAGATTAAAACTCCCATGATTTTAGGAGTTCACGAAACCATTAAAGTATAAATTTCCTCAGAACCTAGACCTCCCAACCTAAAATTGACAGCGAAAGATGATAACAACATCGTTTCACAGGATGCTCACTTTCATGTAATATCACAAGTACTAAAGTTTTAAAATATTGTAAGTAAAACTTCTATATGTGAAAAAAAGTTTTCATCACATTTTCACAGCTCTTTAAAAATTAAAATCTTTTCTTGAAGCAGTGCTGAATGAATTGTGTGGGAAGTTCTATTTACCCAGGACCAGTCTGAAGATATTAGACTAGTATGGGCACTTGAGAGAAGAAGCAATAAAGAAAAAACCCTTGCAGGGGATGTTCTTCCCTTTAATAAATAAGCAAAGTCTTTCATGTTCTTAGTGTTGGGAAGGTTGATCTGCAGAGAAAGAAAAAGGATTTAAAAAACCTGAAATGGAGAACATTGCAGAATCTGCGGGACATTTTTATTCATAACATTTCCCCAGCACTTGCCCTCTTCCTGCCCGATGTTAGATACAGAGATGTAAAGAATATTGGAATGTACACATTCCCCATGGGCGCACTTGAACTCCAAGTCTGACCCTTTGTACTTCCCCCTTTTACAATTAAAATAGCTCAGCAACTTAGTGTTATATTTAACAGCCATCAAAGGCCTCTTGTAGAACATGGCAGCGAGGCAGGAACATTAGGTTAGCCAGCTCGAGATGCCGAGTTCCATATCCGCCTGTAGCGTGAAGGAAGAACATCTGGAGCATTTACCACGAATAATTTCTTAATTTTAGAGCTTTTCACTGCGTCTTCTTGGGTTTTTAGCTGACCTCTACTCTTTCTTTTGTGGTGCGTCAATGCTGCTATTATATTCTCAGAGCTATCTGAAAAGCAAGAAGTCCTCGTTAAAGCGCGGGATCTTCTGTTTCCTACTGAGCCTGTATCCGAGCATCACCTTCAGGTGACGGGTAGCAGAGGCTGGGCTGATGTTCCTGGTCTCAGCATTTGCTGGCATTGACAAGTTTTTCCAAGTTGCTGGTGAAAGTAGCAGCAAGTTTATTATGAAAAAATGAACTTACCATTCATTTTAATGCAAAATGTATACTATGGGACTCTAAAGAAGGCCAGGTTCTTTCAGGATATTAATGATGCCTTGAGGAACACAATATTTGTAAAGAAGCAGAACAAGGTTCCTACCAGATATAAATACTATTGCTGGTTTCATGTCGATATACTCATAAGGAGTCTAAAAAAAATTGGCACAGTTTAGAAAACTGTGGCCCAGTGGCCACCTGTTTCTGTCAATAAAGTTTTATTGGAACACAGCCATACTCATTCACTTACATATTCTTATTCTAGAGTCACGCATTTGCAACCGAGACCATAAATCCTTAGTGTACTTACTAGGTGTCTCTTGACAGATATTTGCCATCTCGTGGTCTAGGAGAGTTCATATTCAGTGATGCTTCTAAAAAGCTAATTCAGGGCAGACTTATCCTTACCAGCTCCTCCTCCCCACTCAGTGGGAAGTACCTCCAGTTTTGTCTTTGTAAACTTTCTCGGACTGTGCTTGATTTATTGTGGTGTATTTTCTGTTTTCCAGGTGAAATGTGAGGCCAGGTCAGCCTTGGCGAAGCCGAAGAATAACCATAATAACTGTAAAAAAGTCTCAAATGAAGAAAAACCAAAGCTGGCCATTGGTGAAGAGTGCAGGGCAGATGAACAGGCCTTCTTGGTGGCACTTTATAAATACATGAAAGAAAGGAAAACGCCGATAGAAAGAATACCCTATCTAGGTTTTAAACAGAGTAAGTATACTTGTTTTCATTCCTGAAATATCAAAATTGCTCAGATTCTTTGAACTGGGGAAAAACATTTCTTTTCGATTTAGGATTATGTTGAAATTCTAATCTGGGCTGATGATGTTCTCTGTTTATACTAAATCTACAAATTGTCTAAGCCAAGAATTTTTTTCCCTGCCTCTTTCCGCTACATTGTTCCCTTCTGGGACAGTTGCAGTGAGATATTTATAGGCTTAAATCCACTGATTATGACTGGAAATAGACATGTTGAAAGTTTCACATTTTCTGTTTTGTCAATCTTGAGTGTCTGCAACGTCTTTCTTGTGAGATAATAATGTGATGTAGTCTTATCAGGCACAGATGTTGCCTGTGAAAAGACAGCTTTTATAGGAAAGACATTTAAAGGTGGACAAAACAACCACAAAGAGAAAACACATTTCCAAAGCTCCAAATTTGTTAAAAGATAACAAAAATCTAGCCAGGCATGGTAGCACAGGCTTGTAACCCCAGCATTCTGGTTGATTTGAAATGAAAGAATTGCAAATTCAAGCCCAGGCTGGTCAATTTAACAATTTAGGGAGACCTTGTCTCAAAATTTAAAAGGTCGGCGGGACTGGGAATGTGTCTCAGTGCAAAGGCCCTGGGTTGGATCCCCAGTGGGGCGGGGGCGGGGGAGGGGGGAGAAGAAGAAAGAAAAAAAGAAAAGATAACAAGAATCTGATTTCAGAGGCCCCAGTTTTTAATAACTTTGCGATGTGTACTGAGGTATCTGGAAACCCATAACTGAATAAAATTCCATACAAGAGATCAGATCTTGCCCCAGTCACAACTGAATCTATATTTTGCCTCTGTCTGGCTTTAGTGGTACACAGAGCGATGCGCCTCTGGCTTGAAATAGTATTTTCTCCATCGCATCTCCCTAGATTAAAACCATGTGTCACTTTGATGAAGAATGTCAAACCTGTATGTTTTACATAACAATTTACATACCTAATAGCAATTGGCACTGATTGCAAGAGAACACTTGCAGCCATTACAAACTTATATAACTAGGAATGATTACAATATTTGTCTGAAAACTGGTTGCTTGAAATAGAAGTAAAATTAATGTACTATGAACAGCTTTGTTGCATTATGCATTGGTTCAGATTAAATCAAGGCCAAGGCAGGGCTCTTGATAGCTTTGAAATAGTGCAAGGTTCAATGAGGCTTTGCGAACATGTTGTGTCAAAGAGCCTTTTTTTTTTCTTTTAATTTTCATTTTATTCATTTCCCTTACCAAGGAATTACTTGAAGTTCAATTTTCCCCTCACACAAAAAGAATCAAATTTGCAGAAGTCACATTCCGTGGTATTTGGTACAAATGAACAAGATTGCTGGCAACTGGGCATAGTTGTTGAACAGCTTAGACACATGCAAACTCTGCAAAAAGAATCTGTTTGAAAAACATATATATTTGCAATTATCACACAGGCAAGCTAGGGGACGAAGTGGCCTCCGGATTCCGTTCCTCTGTGAATGAATATCTTCCTTCCCTTTGATCCACGTATCCTGCTGCCACGCACATGAAATACTTATTTGCCCTACTCAGTGCGAAGCAGAGCCCTGGGTTAGTGAAATATGACACAAGCCTTTAACCTGGCGCTACCATCAGACAGTCTGTCCTGCGTGGTCTCCCACATTAGCATGTCTATTATTTACTGATCATAGAGAGACCTTATTGTTACCGCCACAAACAAAACCAACCCCAATTTTGAAATCTCCCACATTTTCCCAAGGTTGCTATAATTTAACTTCTCTTGTTCTGCTGATGGCAACAAGACTGAAACCATGCTGTCCTTTATCCTGAAAGGAAAACCATCTCTGTAGCGTTGTGATTTGTTTCTTAAGAAATATTTTAAATGGTAATAATAGATTCTGTTGTTAAATGCCCTTTGGCAAATTGTTTCCTAAGAATTGAGTTCTCTGGGGTAATATTAGTATTTCTTTCTTTTTTTTTTTTCTCTTTCTCATTGAAAAAACAAAACAAAATGTTTTAATTGACATTTCTTGGAACTATGTTAATGCAATGCTTATCTAAATACTTATTGTCCCTCTAACAGTTAACCTTTGGACTATGTTTCAAGCTGCTCAAAAACTGGGAGGATATGAAACAGTAAGTGTTTAAGCAACTTAAATGAAATACTTTTGCAATCTAACTCTCCCCCTCTCTTTGGCCAAAATGGAGCAAATGGGAAAGCAAACTGTCATTGACAGCCTTTTCAAATGGCTCTACACTTTTGGGGGTTTATTGGGCTGCTTTTGGAAACAGTCCCAATTAGTTCCAGGTTTGGCAAAATTGTAAACTTGTCGTAAAAACTACAAGTGGAAAACATATGTAACTCTCCCCTGTCAGGGAAATTAGTTGGGTCTGTAATTTTTTCCCATGTTGAGAAAGGGCTATTATTGTACAACAAGCCAAGATTGCATAAAAGAAATTTCCCTTGGCAACATACCTGACATCTGTTCATGTCTAATATGGGAAATGTATTAAAGGCTTTCAAAAGTAATCAGGACTGGCCATTAAGGAATAGAATGCAGCAGAATCTCCTCTCATTCTAGGGCAAAGAAGCTTTAATAGACAAGGGTCAGTGCTGCATAAACAGGAAGTTATCAAACTTATTCAGAACAGGCTCTGACACTCTTTATCAGCTAATTCTAACTGACAGGAATGGGTTATTTTTAGCCCACAGGAAAATTTGATGGCCATGGATTTTTACAGCATGTATTCTGAACCAATAAAATGTTAGAGCAACAAACTGAGATTAAGATCTTGAAGTAAGAAAAAAGAGCTGCATTAATATAGCACACAGAGATGACATCTGTAATAAAATCAATTGACATAAGACGATGTCGTCACTGGAAATATTTTTTCCTCTGCACAGTGATCAGATTAAGTTATGCAGTTTCTTCTGCAATTGACTAAGAAATTATTTTTTCTTTCCTTAAGAAGTAATCTGGGATATCTCTGTTCCAGAGTTAAATGACAGTAAGAGACAGGAAGTCAAGAAAATAAAATTTATTTTAGCTCAAACACAATAACCAGCATTGCTTGCCAGATAAAACATATCGTTCCATAAACTAATACAATGGTTTGATGTCAGGGGCTTAGGATGGGAAAAGATGGAAATAATATGTGATTCAGATAATTTGGTATCTACTGTAGAAATTTCTGACTAGAATGTCTTTGATGTGACTATATGTGTATGTAAAATATTAATTTAATATATGAACTGTATATGTGTTTATAAAGAAAGGTAATAATGAAATACATGTAAAATGTATATTTGATAGATATGAACTTAATGGAAACATTTATCAAGTGCCTTATATGAAAATAAATACTATAATTTTTCACTTCGTTGAATCTGTTGATAGGACCAAAATATGAACCCTGCACTGTAGCTCATAGTTGTGCAAGATCTTGAGCTAATTATAGCTCTCACCCATGTGAGGAAGATGATAATAATTTCATAAACTTGGGAGTTAACCTCACAGCCCAGACTTCTGAGTCTAACTTTTAATGTTAAGAATAGAAGTGCACATTTTTCTGAGCTTTGACTGCAGGTAGTTACATGACATTACACAACATTATGAAACATCTTTTTAAACTCAGGAACTTTTTGCTACCACCGATAGGAAGAATGCCAGCAAATTTCATAGAATCAATTTTTCCTGCTTTTGTATCTTCTGTATATTTATAGAAATATTTTCCCCAGGCAACAGCAAATTGATGTAGAATACGCAGAAGAAACCTTTGATAAATTTCAAAGCATTTGTGGTGTCTGATGAAAAAAAATTATATGTTCCTTTATTAAGTGAATGGATGAGTGAATGACCATATAATCAGCAAATCACCTGACAGCATACTGAAGGTCTTCTGTGTTAGACACTGAGGGAGAGGAAACATACAGAAGCAGTAGTTCTAGTCCTTACGTTGCTTACCACTGAGGAAAGACAGTAGTTGTACTTACAAGATGCAATGCCCTCTATAGTACTTTCCCCTGCAGAGATAAAGGAAGGCATGGTGGCTCAGATGTCACTTGTGCAAATTTGGAGGGAATAGGTGAGCTTTAGACATGAATGATCATGCCATTCTAGAGAAAATCAGCCAAGGGCATGGTGTAAATGTTAAGTAAAATTGGAGCACAGAGAGTTCAAGTAACTTACGTAGGTAGCCTAGGTGGCTGGGACAAGTGGTCAGGAAGGGAATTCTGCAGAAAGAAGCGTGCAAAGAAGATGGACCTTTTAGATTGTGAGAACTTTTTAGATTGCCATCCATCACAGAGTTACAAGAAACACTTATCTCTGAGATTGTCTAGTATCAGAAACAAGCACAGGCTTATATCATTTAGAGCTCAAAGAGACCTTAGAGTCATCCAGATGGCTCCAAGTGAGGAGAATCCCAGGATGCCGTACCCCAGAATTATGTTGCAGGCTATGGGGAGCAGGCTGCACAGAAGGTTTCAACTCCCATCTCTGGTGACAAAAGTCACTCTTTTATTTTCCTGATACTGTGCTTGGAGGGACCTTCACAGAGGAAAATTCGTGCTACTTTTAAGAAGAGGAGAAGGGCAGAGAATTCTTCTTGCATTGATTGATTTTCAGTTGCCTCCAGCCATGTGGTCCTTACGCCAGAGTAATATATTTTGTGGACAGCCGATTCTGATCCTTTTACTGGGGTGGAGGGCTATGGAAGAGCAGACTGGTATCTGCCCCTCGTCTGGTTATGAATAGAATTTTTAAAGAAATTCTTCTCTTCATTTCTCCATTCCTTCCTTCCCCCCTTCCTTTCTACCTGCTTCTGTGGGTCCTTTAAGCACATAAATTTGCCACAGTCGCTCTATGCCTAAGGATTTGGACCTCTGATGTACAGAATACACTTTCCTTTTGGCATATTCTGACTAAGGGAACTGTGCAATGTTCAGTGAGGATTAAGCTTTAAGGTCAGTCCAGGAAATGCACACTGACACCCAAAGTCTGAGAACTTTTTAGATTGTCACCAATCACAGGGTTACTAGAAAACACTTACCTCCGAGGTTACCTAGTACCAGAAACAAGCACAGACTTGTATCATTTAGAGCTCAAAGAGATCTTCGAGCCATCTAGATCCATGGCTCCCAAAGGCTACTCAAGAAATGGAGCTCAGGTTTTCAGTGAGGAACTCTGAAGTATAAATAGTTGTCTTAGACCTTTACCCCAAGATATAAACTCTCATTGGTCCTGCGCCCGAGAACCAGAGCATCTTTCTCTCATGCACTGTTGTAGTAATGTTAATTCATAACTGTTGGCCCCAGTGGTTAATTAATTGTGCTATTGTCTTCCATGGCGCCTCATTTCAAAATGAGACCCTCATCTAAGACAAGCATTCAAGATTAGAAGTTTGCTTCATGCAGATACTATTATAAACTCACTAGAATAGTAACATTTTCTAGGCTCAAGAGCAGCACAAATTTCTGATGAGTATTTTCTACTCTATAAATTGTAGTGTAAGTTGAGACTCAGCTATTTTCAGTTTGAAGAGGGAAAGAGCTGCATTCTTACATACTTACTTTTTCTGAGTTGGCCTCTGTGCAGAAAAAGAAGTCTTGCTCTGTTTCAGTTCATAGCCTCATTTTACAGGGGAGAAAACTGAGGCAGAAGAAGATGAAATGAGTTCCATGGGGTCGCCATGACATTCTTGAAATTTTTACGTGCAGACAATTTTCTATGCGCTTATATTGATTGCTGTAGCATCGCTGAGAGAAAGGAATTCATACATGATCATTCAGCACCTTCCAGTCGCAGCAACTTCATACATATCTAGAATGTTTTCCACCTGTTGGGGGTGATGTTTTGGAAAAAGGATCTAATAGCCTGATTTTGTTAATAGTATCTTTCAGTGCATTCTGTGTACCTAACATGAGCTCTACCAGATGTTTTAGTTATTAGCAGAGATAGTATCTGATTCTAGAGAAAAATATGTGAATTTAGGAGGTGGATCAAGAAATGTGGATAATGTAAATATTCCATAACAGTCAAAAACTGCAAGTAACATCTGTAGATGTATTGCTTTTGCTGTTAACTTGCTGTTGGATAAAGACATCTCTCTGGAATTCCTTCTGGTTATAAAAAGAGGCCATCTTAATTGGCTTGTTTTTGTTTGTGGTTATAAACTATTCCAAACCTTCTGTTTTGAATTGTGGATTATGGATTATTTCATTTCAGTCCTTCATGACCCTCAAATTGAATTTTTTAAAAAAAGCAGAAATTTTATTTTAAGTCTTTATAGCATATGACTAATGACTATGTACATTTCGTCTCAGCCTTTTCTGCCTTTGCTGAAAATGTATAGAGTATCTCTTCAGTTTTAGATTTAGAGATCATAAATGTATTGAACAGCTTTGATTTCCTAAAAAACAGTGGCCTGGCATTTTGATTAATTAGCATTGAGGACTCTCCCTCTGCAGTCATCTACCCAACTTTTCTTTTCAAACACATTAGAATATGGATTATTCACAGCCAACAGGATAAGGGTTTGCTTGGAGCTAAAGAGGCCTTAACTGCAGTGTCTTGGGGACGACCTGATGTTGGGAGAGTAGGTTGGGGTGTTACCATGAGGCTACATATGGAGGGTGGTTGCCTAAAGTGATTTATTTTTGGTTAATAATTTCAGGGCAAGCCACATAAACTACCTGGAAAGAAGGTAGAGCAGGAAAGTGGGTGTTGAATTAATCTGACCCTAGAGGCAAAGGATGACACACAATCAGTACCTTCTACTAGTACTGGTCAGCAGCCACTTTTCTACCCACTAGTTGAGACAGGACCATGATTTTTAATCAGGAAGAAGTCACTTGTCTTCCTGCTGGAAGGATTAGGCTTTGACATCAAATTCTGGTTTTGACATCATTTTCAAGACATCCTCTGAATCAACCCTAGTTTTCTGGACAGACAAAGCCTCTGGCTTAATTCAAAATTCTTGAGGCCAAAGATGATGTCATGTGGTTTTGAAAGGCTCCAGTTCCTGGAGTACTACCAGGAAAAAAAAGTCATCTTCCTTGAATTCAGTCCACCCTCAAGGTGTCCTGAGAAAATAGCTGTTTCTCAGAGCAGCCCTAGCAACGCTGCGTACAGGCAAACGCGTCTCTTGACTTCGTATTTCCTACACATTCTTCAGCCATTGGAAGAACTAAGGTCCAAAAGGATTTCTGAGTGCTGGTCACTTCAAAGATAGTGAAATCAAGGATCTAAGAGTCTTGGGTTATAGTGGTGGTTTTCTAAGTTGTTTTTTTTTAATGACAAGATATTTTCATCAAATAAAATTGTGGAAGGGAAAGATTCCTTTTCCACTCACTGGACAGGATTGGCAATGGGGAGAATTAGTTTCAGGACAGTTTTAAACCACCTGGGTTCCAAATAGCAGTTTGAAAACCACTAGATTTATAAACAATGAAAATTTTGTGAACATAATAGGCACGGAGTGCTTTTTGGAGTTGCATAGGTCTTACCTACACGAGAGAAAAAAGCAATTTTTAAGTGTCTTCTAAATAGGAGTAAGGGGGCTGGGGATTTAGCTCAGCGGCAAAAGCGCCTGCCTGGCAAGCACAAGGTCGTGAGTTTGGTTCCCGGTACCGGAGAAAAACCAAAAAAATAAAAATAAAAAAATAAATGGGAGTAAGAGTCACTTTCATATAGATTGGTTTCTTTCCTTGGGTGTGGTCTGCTCAGCTTTGCATCCTGTGCCGTACTATGGAGTTATGTTACCACTGAATTATGAACCCTTAAAAACAGTAGCACCCCTTTCTTTCCATGATATCTCCCTGCCCTATACCTTCCATGCAAACCTTCCCTCCACCTCTATATATCTCTGGACCCAGCCCTGTGCCCTAAAATGGTAAGCATTGGTAGATGGTTATGTCATAAATCCTTCCTATCTAGATGAGGACCTTTCAGGAGAAACAGGGGAGCACAATCCAAGAGAAGTAACTGCTTAGCTGAATTTTCCCATTTTCTTTCAGCAACTAAAAGAATGTAACCAGGAGGCCTGGGGCTTAGTGACAAAGGTGATCAAATAAGACCCTTTGCTAGACCATATTCCCCATCAAGGTGGGCTTGGAGGACAGGTAGCAAGAGACAGACATTGGATTTGCCCCAGGTGGGTTTTAAAGCTAACACACCTCCAAAGAGGATGTTGGACAGCAGACTAAAAGCAAATATATAATTGGGCACAGCTGAAACACATTAATGTAGACGGCAGATTCACCCAGGGAGCAGAAGATGGTCTCATGCCCATTCTGCTCTTCTTATTGGGCTCTAAGCCTCATGGTGGGTTTCAACAAAGGGAGGATTTGGACATCTCTTGCTTTTTAGACCCCATAGTCACTGTTTGAATTGAAAGTACACCCGGAGCCCAAAAGATAGAGCCATGTACCCAGGAGAACTGTATATTTAAAAGCATTTAGCAGTGGGGAGGAGCACATGTGATGATTTTCCTGTGGGAACAGCGTATCTGAAAAGGCCCTGTTTCACCCTGGGCCTGCGCCATGCAGGGCAGACTCAGGGAGCACAGAGTCCACTTCCCCAAACCTGTTCCCTTTTTCCTCCGGGGGATGCTCAGCAGTCAGAACTGTGTGAGGAAACGCTAGGACTGCTGGCTAGACCTGTGAGGGGCTGATTCGTTCCCCTTTGATACTGCATGCTTTATCCTTACAGCAAGCTCGTCATTTCTGTGACAGTTAGTATTCCGTGGGGCATCCCTCTGCCTGTATGGTAGGTGGTAGGAGCGGAGTAAGGCAGGTTTTTACTCTTTAGTGTCTGCACCAACTGTCGTCTTCTCGTTCATCACCCTTTACACCGTCTATGCTATTTTGTTTGAATTATCTGTTCGTGTGCTTTTCGTTGTTGCTTCCAAGATGTGGGCACAATCCCTAACAAATGGGAGATTTTTAAAAATCACTTGTTGGTGAACGAATGAATGCATGAGCAGTTGGATGGATCCTGATATAATCGGGACTTACACAGGACTCTCTGTTCTAACTAGAGATGTGAGGGTTCAGAATGAGGAAACATAGTTCTATTTCATACTTTAAGAGAGTGAAATTTCAGAGTGCCATTAACCCAGTCCACTTTCTTTGATTCTTGCGGACCTCTTGGCAACATTTTCTCATGGGAAAGACCCAAAGCTGAGGGTTGAGAATTAAAGGAAAATCTGTGATGCCCAAGGCATGTGCCTCATATGAAGGAAAAGACCCCAGAGCCCTGTGTTATCATCTTGCTACAAGTATAGGCTATTCATCAGGCCATCTTGATGCAGCAGCTGCTTTGATTCAGTAGAAAGAAGTTTACTCTTGGTCCTATGAGATAGTTACATGGGTCTGGGTTTGTCATCCAGTTCTGTGTATCCTGGGATAAATTGTGCACCCTCTCTGAGTCTCACTTCCTTTGTCTGTGAGTGAGATTACAATAATATGCTTCACAGCATATGGGATGATTAAATAATAGGAAGTGAAGCTTCTTTGTAAGATGTGAAGTGCAGTACACACAAGAGACAGAGTGACCAGAATGCAAGTTTCTTCTGAAGCGACTTCAGAGACACACATCAGCTGTTCTGTGCCCTTCTGTGATCCCTGGGACCCTTAGACCTCACCTGAGTGAGGGACACATGGTGGTGTGTGTCAGGCTTACCTCAGTGTCCTGAGGAAGCACAAGCAGGTGGGAGAGCCCAGGTTCCTTTTTCCCTGATAAATGACCACAGACTAGATAAGCCAGACTATACATTTAAATGTTGGAGATAGATTGTAATCAAATGTGCGATAATTATCAAAATATGTTCTTTTAATGTTCTTAACATGGTTTGAAACCAGCTATTAGAATTTAATCGAAGCCATAAATATGGAGGATTTTATTTTCAGTCACCCTCGCTAGTAGATACAAGAGGAGGTTCTGTTTACTAAGAACTATCAAAACCAATTGGTTCAAGAATGCTTTTATGGAAAATGGAACAATGTAAAACTAACAGGGTCTGGAAATCCTACCTGGGCCTGTAGAGAAGGCTTTATGGAAATAAAAGGTTCTTTTTATCTGAAATGGAAAGGGTACCACTTACCCCATAATATTCCACCACTCATCTCTTTCTTCTTATGTTACAATTACGAAGCCAGTAGCAAGTTAGGATTCCCCTGTGCACACTCCTATTGCTACCTTTGGCCCCTCAGTGAACTCGACCAGCAGCTCTGTAGCCATTTTTCAAAGGTGTCTGCCATGATTGTAAGTGCCAGTGGCGCCTTTGCCACGCCCTGTTCCCTATGCATTCCAGTACCAGGGCTTTCCTGTAACCCTACTGAGAAGTGTCCGCAAGGGCTTCAAACTTCCCTTCCTAGTTTCAAGGAAACAGACATGCAGATGTAGTAAGTGATGTGGCTTCCTTAAAATTATCATTTGCCAGATCTCGCATCTGTTATTTTGTAAAATCCTAATTTATGTACAAAAATAATATTAAAGAAAAAACCAAGACCATAGTGTGCAGTTCAGTGTATTGCAAGCTGTTTGTTTTTATTACTCAACTCAATAATATACAAAGTGAGCATTTTAACTTTGGAATATGTTGGTTTTCGTGGGATTTGATCAATATCCCATTTTCCTGACCTAAGTGAATAAAAATAAACAGCTTGTGACATATACAATTTCAGAGTTTGACTTTGTTTTGGTGGTTCGAGGAGCTGGCACACAAACATAGCCTGAGACGACTGTAAATTCCTGAAACGGTTTGATCATTTTCATGGATCTCTGTAGTAATTTTATTTATTTTTTAAAGTGGATAACATATCATTTGATTCAAAAACAGAAGATACAAAAGCATATTTGGTGAAAAGTCCTTTTTTGGCCTATATGTCTGTTTACCCATTTCCACCAGCCTCGGGCAACTAGTGTTAATTTTGATTCATTTAAGTTGATGAACCAAAATATAGTTTAGCCGAAAGGAGATTTTATGTTGATTCTTTATCACACGGCATAAAGACACAGGATATGAGTTTGGGACTGTGAGGGCGAATAGCTGCATGACTAGCCAGGGAAATGCTATAGATGAAAATACAGGAGGGTTGACAAAATATAGAGGCACAAGTTGAATTCCATTTTTATTGTAAAATAAGATCTCACTATAAAACCGTAAGTCTCCCCATATACTCATTGGACTTCTCTGTTTCTGGGTTTCCAGAACAGACTGTTCTCTTCTGACTGTTGAATATGTATTTAAGCCTGGCACTATGAATCTCTTATGATACTAGATTGAATTTCTCATTGCCACTTTTTCAGATAACAGCCCGCCGCCAATGGAAACATATTTATGATGAGTTAGGCGGTAATCCTGGGAGCACCAGTGCTGCCACTTGTACCCGCAGGCATTATGAAAGGTAAGAAATTATTTGGTGGAAAGTCTTTGCTTAATTGAACGTATGTTCTTTGTGAGAAGCTTTTGGTCAAAGATAAGACAGAGGAAATCTAAAGAACCCTTTAGGAAACAAACTGTCTCCGTGGCTTTTTTTTTTTTTTTTTTTTTGGCGTATCACTTTGTGGTATTTAGGGACATGACTTTCTCCGGTTACAGGAGCAAAATGGGACTGTCTCTTAAGTTTGGTTTTATCTTGTGACCACCTGTTTGATCTCACTGCACCCTAACCCACCCCATGCCACCTTCTGCACAGCATAGATTACTCAGGATGTCTCTCTAGGTTCGTTTACAGTAAGATCTCTCAGCTTCTCAGAAACAGACATCTGCAATGTTACTACAAGGTTGACATGTAACTATATTAACATTGGAAAGTAAACATCGCTTATAGTAACAGCACTGACCCAGATAAGGCCTGTTTTTTCCCATCTTGGTATATTTTTCTCCTACCGCTATGCCTTTGACCCAAGAAATCTTCTTGCCAAACCCTGTGTGGCTTAGTTTTCTAATGAGATCTGCTGTCTATGGCCACGCCACCCTGAAAGCTCCCGATCTCATCTAACCAGGTCTGCCTATTTCAGAAAGGTGATGATAATGCAACCCAGAAGGAAGACACAAGTAGCCTCCTATGAAGTTTGTATCCATGGGAGTCTTTCCCCTTTGCACTGGGATAGTATGATCTACCCTGCTAAAGATCAATTGAAGAATCTATGAACTATCCCTACTTCCAGCACACACTTAGTTTAGGTTGTGTCAACTTCCATACAACTGGTACTTTCCTGCAACAGCATGGATGGACTAAGCTCTCTGGTTTCAAATTCAAAGTTTGGAGGAGCAGCCAGGAGGGGTGGGGGAAATGTGTCTTGATAGTAGCCATGTATAGAACCAAGTCAGGACACAGCTAGTTAAGTGAATAAGCAGACCAGTTCCCTTGTTGGTGAAACACAACTACAAACTTGCTGGTTACTCTTCTTATCACCAGTTACCATTTCAACTTCAGTATAGCTGTGTGACACCCACCTTTGGGTGACATATGCACATCCTCAGGTGATGCTATTTAACATACCGGTTTGTAGTCATGCGTCTCTTAAATTTAATATCTTTTTATCCTTGCTGAATTTAACCCAGATCCTCTTTTAGTTGGGCCATTCAACAAAAGATACAATGCTTTTGTAAGAATAATCAGAGTAAATTGAGTTGGATTTAGTGCCTCATGAAAGTTCCCACAAAGCATTCATTCCTAAGGTGGTCTGATCCAGAAGGATTTTTTAAAAAAATGATAGTAGATGTGCAAATTAACGCTGTTTATAGCATTGTTTTTCAATGCAGTGCATAAATTGTCTAAATGTAAATACTGTATCATTTCTCTCAGTATTTAATACAAAAGCCTACACATTATCATTGTACATGAAAGATACTCTAGTGATGTCCTAGTACAGTATCTGCTCAGGTCAGTGTCCTGTAAATTTCTACTTGTTTTTGACTTCTGAGTAAAGTCTTTAATGAGAACATTTTCACTAGAAATACCCTCTACTTTCAAATAGCTTCAGTTCTGAGAATGAAGTCTCTTTCCTCTATATGCAAATCTCCCCAGTACCTAAACCATCAAACAAGGGACCAGATAACAAATAAAATTTTCAAAAGAAGTATATCTTAACCATGAAGTAGCTCACCCTGCTGATGGATGAACATCTTAAATAAATTACAGACAACCACATGATCAAAAAATAAGTAGCTAAGTTTTGAGATGGAGAGAATTGACTCTGTGCATGTGTGTGTGTGTGTGTGTGTGTGTGTGTGAACACGAGTACTTAATTTACTTGAGAAGTTACATGAATAAAAATAGCCTTGGTCTTAAATGAAATGCCATGATATATTCTTGTGAAAGTAATGTACTTTATTTCATGGAGTAGAAGATTCCCCAACACCTTCAATCAGTCAAATTGGAAAATTCTAGTGGAGACACCACAAATTTTAGCAACTATATTAAGTTTTTAAAATCAGTCTCCCTTATTCTTGGGATCTGCCTGGATATTTCATAAGTGTCTCCCATGGTATGACATGTTTTGAAGAGCCATGTTGTTTTTCCACATCTGCCGTGTGTTTGGTCAGTGTAAATCAGTCAGCACACAGTAAGGAAAATGGAATCAGCAGAGAGAACATGCTGTAGGAATTGTCTGTGTAGATGTTGGTACAATGCACTGAGTCAACTCAGGGGTGATAACTCCAGGTTCCCTAAGACTGACAATAGACAGAAGGCTGTAGTATCATCACCCAAATATGTGAAGAGTGTGCTCAGAGATCTGGCCTCAAGATCCCTGGAAAGAGGGACCCACTCAGCCAGTCCGGCTACTGCAGGAGCTTAGGAAGGAGCTCAGTGGAGCTGGGTTCCATTGAGGAGGAGGAGCTGCTTGTTGGCTGCTGCTGGATCTCAAAAGACATGCATTGAAATGGTTCTGGGATCACTAAAAGGCACTAAAGCTGGAGCTAACTGTTGTGCTACGTTACAGTTGGGTGGACACTGCTAGAACAGCAAGGAAAACAGAAAGAAAATGGCAGCTTCCCCTTCCCTCTGACTCCCAGAATGCCTATGTGCAGAACCAACAGACTGCTGACAAAAGGAGCTGTCATTTAAGAGCCCCTCTCCCAGCATCACCAAGAAGAGTACAGAAGGGTGGGTTTGGAGTTGGGAGACATCCCTGCCGTGCCATGGGGCAACCCCACCATGGAGAGCCCTGCATATGTGTGGCTGACCAGCCGTGGTTAAGCAGAGCCTGCAGCCCAGCAGGCAAGAGCGCAGAGGTTCCAGGGCCTTAACAAGCCCTTAGCATTTCTTTTTGCTGTCTGGACCACCATGACCTTGTTATTAAATACAAGGGACATTGTGAATAATTAATAATTAATCATAGCTAACTTCAAATTTGAAAATCATTGATTTATTTTTTTAATCAGACTGTACTTAAAATAATGCCATTTTAATCCTTTGAACCAATCATGACCTTTAAGATTTTATCCATAACTTCTGTGTTGCAGTGAAGAGTTGAGGCTGGGAATTGCTGTTCTGGGCAGTTCCTTTTTAATTCCAGAGAAAGGAGTAGGACACTTGCATCTGTCTAGAGACTCTGAGCAAAGAAGAATCTGAACTCTTGGACAAAACCTTGTGACTGTGATGTATTTCATTCGTTATCGCTAGTCTCGGGATGCAGGGACACAGGCAAAGCAGAAATGACTAGACTGATGAAGGACTACCATTTTCAGAAAGGCTCAGGAAGTTGAGAAGGATCAGGATTTTGTAGCCAGAAATCTAGTCTAGAAATATTTCAGTCCTTCTACAATTAGATTGAGTGATTGGAGTTCCCATTCGACTGCTGGTTTCTTGTTATTTTCATTCTGTTGTAGAGCCTTGCTCCTTTCCTAGTTCCCTCCCTCCAGCTTTGCTTTCTTAGAAAATGAAAAAGAAATGAGTGATCCACTATACATTATCTCACCGATGTATTTTTCATGGAGTGCGGTTCATGATTCCAGTAAATGTTTTCATTTACTCCGAGAAAAAAGTCGCCAGTTCTTCAGTAAATGTTACTTGTGTATTAGTTGGGTACTTTTGGTTTATTAATGAGTGTAATAATGAAAGTGTGGGCTGTTGAAAAGAATCAATGGTGTTTTTATTTAAGGCATAGCAGAAGTGGTACAATGCCTGTGAATGCATCATTGTCGCTGAAGGCCCGACTCGTCCAAACTTGCCTCTGATTGGTTTAAATCAAATAGGTCCAAGCACTTCATAAAAATGTCTTTGTCAGCCTGGTTTTGCTCCCAAACCTATTCATCTCTGTCAGTTTTTAATATTAGTACCAGGCTCCTGGCCATAGTCCATTAGTACTGTACTTAATTGCTCATGTTACAGATGATTACCAATATAAAAAGCATTAATGTTTTCCCATCGCAAGGCTGTAGCTATGTAGATGTCTCCAACTCGGCAAACCTCATGAAATGGGGTTGCTCTGGACATTTCTTGTTCAGGATTTATAGATAAAGTTATTATAGATTATAATGCAAATAAAAATGTCCATATCCTCCTGGGCGTGGGACCCTCTAGGTGGAACATTTTCCTTCTTGTCCAACTGGTGAGAGTCTCTGAATCTCTTCTATCAGTAAAGGAGCAAAAAGAAAAATGGCTACTTTTATGGAATTCTTCTTAGCTTGATTTTTTGGAATCGTAATTCACTTTAGAGGCTTTGTTTTCATATGCAGATTTCTTTTCTTTCTGTCTTTTCTATTTTTTTGTTTAAGTGTTTGAAGCACAAGCAGGGGGGAAAATCTTTATACAGATTACTGGTTTTAATTTTCCTGAATAAATTACATGGTCTGTTTCTGTGGAGCACATGAAGTTGTTATTAGGGATTTTTTTAAAGGAGCATTAAGGCAAGAAATACTTGTGATGTGCTTTTCAGAGTATTTAAGAAATCAAAATCATAAACAAATGTATTTGTTTGAGAGGGAAATGAGCAATTATGCTTCATCTTCTTGCATACGTAATACCCAATTTCAAATTCTAACCTTCTGCTTTCCCTGTAAGCATTCCTTGGGCCTGACTGCCATGCTATGTGTCTGAAGCAGCTTCCTTCACATGACTGAGGCTGAGCCCTACCCAGGCCAGACACAGAGGGGCAGAAACCAAGTGACGAACAGCTGGAAGGTCTGCTGTTTTTGCTGAGGTAGTAGGTGGATGAGGAGGCCTTATATTCTGAGTGAGGCAAGCGCGGGCTTTAAAATAAAGATCAAAAACTCATCAGGTTATAAGAAACTCACTTAATGACACCATGGCAAAAGGCCAAGGGAGAGCTGAGGTGACTTACTGCACTGTTCATGTCCAGGACACAATTCCATGTATTCACGCTCATTTTGACACCCTTGAAGTTAATAAATACACAATTGAGCAAGTCACAGTTAGGCTTTCAAGCTTTTATA